TTTTTTTTAAATTAATATAAAATTAATAAACGCTAGAATGTATAAAAAGATATAAAAATATTATTTATATATAAAGTTTATATCCTTTAAGATTAAAAAAGGCAGCGGATGGCATAACATTTGAGTATGTCAAATATTATAAAGTACGCATGCTATGCAAAATCAAGGGTGGTAGCGTGAGGAATAGAGCCCCAGTTAAATATGTTGTGGCACTTCCAATGCACCAAAATGCTGAAATAGAAATATGTGCGCTCAAGAAAATAAAATTAATAAAACAAAAGCACTTTTGCAAGTTCAATTCATTTGAATTCACCTGAAGAGGCGATAATAGGTCCGCAAGCACGAGCCAGTGCACCCAGGGATCGAAATATACCAGTGATCACACCCTTCTGATGTTCGGGTCCAATACGCGTCACCAAAGTCATCACACACGTCACAACCATCGCAGTGGCTGCAATAGATAATATGAAGCAACTATTACTGCAACGTATTATTGCATATACTGCATATTTGAATGATAAATTCGAATGTACTAATTTAAATCGGCAATAAGAAATAAATATAATGCTCACAAACTGCGAAAAGAAAAATCCCGATACACAACATCTGTACATTGGAAGCAACACCGATGCATATAAATGCGGGAATTATTAACCATAAACCCTAAAAAAAATATCATTAAATAAAAACATTAAATAAACAACTGAGAGATGTGTAGAAGATCGAAATGAATTAGCATTACCAGTTCGCTGATGGTTTTAGTTTTATTCGGAGGTATATGTCGTACCCATCCACCCTGTAAAACTGCCATAATCAGTCCAATCCCAAGAAACATCCAGCCTTGTTGCATACTCGTAAATCCGAATGTATGATGAGTCAAGAATGTCAGAGTAAACTCCAAACCACTGTATATAAGAAGATATATAAAATATGCTCGGCCCAATATCTTCAAATCTTGTTGATCTAAAAATCAAGTTATAATTATTGATAACATTATAAAATATAATTAATAAAATATAATTATAAAATATATTTCAAGAGAAAACGCTTTTGATATATTTGATATATATATATATATTTTTTCTAGAATACCTTGCCGACTCAAGTTCAAGACTCCATTAAATTGGAAGAGATCAACAGGATTAATGTAAGAAATTGCCCCAGATAATCCTTTTGCCAAAGTGGTAGCTCTATGTTTTAACGACAAACTTTCCTTTAGGTAGTAAGTAACAAAAAATAAGTCGCTTAAGGCAAGGAAGAGCGCAAATAGTGCTGGTATCACGTACCATGTGCCTTCTCTATTATTACTGGAAATCCATGCAAAAAATGCCCCTATCATTGGTCCCACAACAAAACCGATGGAAAAGGCTATTCCTACAAGTGCCTACAAAAATGAGAGAACGTAATTCAGAATTGAATGATATTTATTTTAAATAGATGCTGTTTATGCACTCGATGCTTGCTTATCTTTCTTTACCATCGCTTTTCCTCTCATTTTCGGAGATGTAACATCACTAATAATAGCCATTGCCAGACTGATGTTTCCTTTACTAATGCCACCTACAAATCTGGCCAATACAAATATACCAAAATTTGCAGACAGAGCCCATAAAAGATAAGAGAATGAGATGCCAATCAAACAAAGTAACATCAAAGATTTTCGTCCATAAATATCTGATAATGCTCCTATGATTGGTGAACCCAAAAATTGTAAGAAGGAGTACATAGATCCTAGAAAACCTATGAAGCAAAACGAGACAAGTTTACTTTTAAAAATATATAACATAAAATTTTTTTTTCTTTTTTAAATGAAAGCATAAATATCAACCTCCAAAAAGAACTGTGCTGACTTTATCTGGTGCGTCAAAGAATATTTGTATGCTCTTCATACGATTCATAATAATGGAGTACAATCCATGTTCTTTTTCTATCTCCTTATAATGGTCCAATAGAGCTGGCAGTAGTGGCAGTATCATTGTAAATGCTAGAAGATCCAGCAATAAGGATATAAAGACCACTCGTACCGTATTATCCTTGGTTTCATTCATGTTTTCTTCTTTTTTTTTTCAAAATATAGTATTACACTATCTTTAACCTTGTATATAAATTTTGGTGAATTTTATTTCCTCTATCTTTACGGAATGTTCATCTCACTCAGTTGACGATCACAGACTGTTATGCAAGTTGAGGATCTCCCAGTTTCAGAGGAAGTAAATTATTTGCTTTAATTGCCAACATAACAAGTATCCTCGTGAATTTGATTGCTTATTTTCGAATTGCATAATGAAAACATTGTCATTTATTCAAAATACATTCCTCAGCTCCGTCCCGAAATTATAAGGCACAATCAGGAAGAGTGAAGAGCGTCATCGAGATTGTCAAAGAACCTCGTGTCACTCAAAAGTGAAAGGTTCCAATCCCGTTGTATTCTACATGCTTCGCGGTCAGTAGTAAACTTCGTACAACATTCTACCAAATTATTCAAATATGCTATGAATAAAGCACAAAAACGCTTAATATCGATGGATGATCAATAAAATTATCAATCTTTACATACCTATATCTACATCCGGTTGGTGTCGCTATATTTCTAATTTATAGCTTTCAAGAACTGTAATTCGGTAAAGCTTACATTCTTATCCTATTCTCTCCCGTTGATAAAGTAAAGATCACATCTCTCGTCGGTAAAGTAGAGATATTTGCAAAAATTACATTCGTCTTGTGTTGAATTATGTGAACTGCATATATTTCTCGAATTTTAATTGATTCACGGAAAACATAGCGGAAAAGGGGAAACCACGGCCTGCCGAAAACAGGCATGTTTGAATTTGAGATGAAAAAGCAACGGGCGATTTTTGTCAATTTTTGTAACGGCACAATTACGAATTCAAGGGATCGTTTATATTGTTTTTTATTTGCCAGTGAAGCGAGAAATAGCTGGTGAGCGGAGCGAGCGAGCGGGCGAGGCGCACCCAAAGGCATTATAATGCACGTTCTGACTTCCGGCAGCGCGCGCTCGCGCTCTCACGCACGTAGTCGTACACGCGTGCAGGCACGCACGCGTGTGAACGCGCGCGCGCGTGCACAGACCCACTTCCTCGCGCTCTGACGCTCGAACAAAGATCTTTTCAAACCGTACCGAACTGTAACATCGCATGGCCGCGCGCGAGTGATCGCTTCTAAATGCTCTCTCCCGTTGCAACTCAATACTCCTGATGCTGTTTTCTCTCTCTGTCTTTCTCTTTCTCCCTCTTTTTAGCCGTAATACACGTCTCCTTTTGCCGGCGAGATTCACATTCTCTCTCCATCCCTCTTTCCCCCTTATGCATGTGCACGTGGAAATACGAGTTACGCGACACGACGGAAGGGAAAAAAATCAAAGCGTGAGAAACGATCCGCATGCGATCGATTGGACGCGAGTATATACAGAATTCATTATATTGTTTAGAAAAGAAAATTCCATAGCACAAAATAATGCCTTCGAGAAGACGAATAAATCTTGAGGGAATATGATAATCTCTGATCTATAATCCTGTCTTACATTGTACATACAATATTGTATTTATTATTGTATTAGGATGATAGGTATATGTCAGGTCGATGTCAGTGTCAATATTGTTTACATCTCAGTAAACGAAATGGATTGAAATGAATTGAAATGAATTCAGATTTTCAGAAATATTAATTCACGAATGTTAAAATGAATGCTTTTCAATCCTGAATGCATTTTTATTCATTTATAGGAATTGCAGGAGCATATCTCTATTTTATCTCCTTTCAATCTAAAAATAATATTAGCTTTTTCTGTGTGCATTGTGAATAATTCTGTTTAATTCAAAATTTTGAATAGGAAATGCAATTTTTCAATCCAATTGCATCCAATTGAATCTAATTGAATCCAATTGAATCCAAAAAAAAATATTTGCTATTTAAAATACGCAAAGGAAATTTGGAAAGAAAAAAACTTCAATCCATTCTCATTTCACTGAGCAGGTCCACTCGATCTCAATTGTTAGTTTGAAATGTTGTTGGTTTCTAAATGTAATTTCAAGACTATATTATAATTATTTAAATATAATTCTAGAATTTCTACGAATAATTTTAAAACTTAAATAAATATTTTTCTTGCAACAATAATAATAAGCGAAGAAGGTCATATTTGATTAAAACGGTCATATTTGATCAATTAAATCCAAAAAAAAGTATTCGCTATTTAAAATACGCATTCGGATAGAAAAAAATTTCAATCCATTTTAATCCATTCTCTCGTTTGCTGGGCAATCTATAAAATGAGCAAAGAGACAAAGCGGTAAAAAGTAGAATTCGAGAATTTCGAGACCAAGCGCGGTAGAAGTAAAATTGAAGCAACAGGATTTGTCATTGGAATTGCCAATCCTGTTCGTATCCGTCGAAAATCGTGACGTTTAACGAGCGGGGCTGATTTACGTGTTGCAGCAGGTGGCACGAGGCGACGTGGTCTTGGTACTCGCTGTCAAAAATTTCAGCAAGGGTACACCGGGCGCTTGCCATCTGGGCTCTTGCCTACCGCGCTAAAGCTCCATGTCCATACGGTCTACTGACGTTACCGGTGGTATCGGGTCGGGCTGTCTACAAGGCTCTCTTACGCACCCCTCGAGATTTCCGAGTGCACTTATAAAGCGATAAGGTCGCGAAATTGCAGGCTTTGCGAGATAATTGTGACGCCGCGCCGCGCCACGCCGCGCCGCGATATTTTCCAACGCGATTATTCGAATGAGATATAATTGAAGGTCATCATCTATTAACAATCCGCTATAATATTCATTAGATATTATATATTTTATATACAGAGTGAATTACATCGAATATTTTTTTACAAAGAAAATTTGTTTTATATCTTTTACTCTCTTTTTACAAGAAATTTACGCTCCTTTTTCCTTTCCTCCTTTCTTTTTTTTTCTTCAATTAAAATTTCTTCAATTTAAATACGATCTATATAACGATGATGTATAATAATTTCATGTTATTTTTACGTTGCATAATTCAACTTTCGCGTTTAATGAGAATTTCGTATGGAATGTCATGAATACTTAGACTGTATTCGAGATTCATTTAATTTCACTTGAATTTAAAATATTTCAACGTCACACACATGATTACGGTAATCGAATGTGCAAACAAAACAGGCACGCGCCAGCAACGTTCGGCAGATGTTGACATTGACCAAACTTTGAACTCCCCAAATGTTTTCCATATTTTCCCTCGTATCTCTCGATATTGTCGTTATATGTATTTCAGTTATTCCGAAATTGATCAAACTCTATTTTTCAAAGGGTTTACAATGAGAGCAAAAAGTATTCGTACAAGAAAATTTTTTATAAAAAAAGTTTTATTGTTATTTGTAGAAAATAAACATTAATTAGCAATTTTATATAATGAATATATTATGTTCTTACATTAATAAACGAGCTTCGTATATATTCTTGATTTTAGAAGCTAAAATTCTCGATTGTACGAATACTTTTTAAGTACAAACAATACAATTTTTAATTTTCGTTTATTTTTTAGATGATACATTTTCTATAATTAATATACATTTTTTTGATATATATAGTTTTATATATAGTTTAAGAAACATACAGTCTATTTTATTCTTTATAAATAAATTGTTAATTACACAGCAAGAAATGATCGCTATTAAATTAAATGTCGAAATGTCGAATCGACGACAAATTGGTGTTGAAATCATCGTATCGATATTGATTCAACATCAATTCGATAACTCATTTCTCGCTGGAGAATATTTATTTTTTAAAAATAAAGTTTTTTTAAAAAATATTTTCTCTGTACGAATACTTTTTGCACTCACTGTATACAGGATATAATGCCTTGCGATACTTTTTACATTTATACTTATCTTTGCGACAATCTTAACAAATCTGAATCAGTCTCAGCGATATACATTTAATGCACGTGTCACATTATGCATTAAAGATTAAGGATTGCGAATAGAGGTTATAAGAATTCAATTAATCAGAACAAATGGATTAAAATTAAAATTATTTAATTGGTCGAATTCTAGTCGATTCTTCAATTCGTAATTTTTTATCTCCAATACGTTGTGTAACATCAGCATAATGTTTCTTCAGATTTTCAAATATTTTCTCTCAATATTTCTCAATGTTGTCCATTGCGTTTCAGTAACTCCGAAATCGATACGCAATATTAATTTTCGAAAGTGTATGACCGCTTAAAAATAATTAAAATATCCTCACAATTCTTTGACAAATTCTGATCGTTATCATTATATTTTCTACATTTTTTAATATAATCGAAAATCATCGTTAAAAGAAAATACTCGAAAACCTTTCGAAAATATGCCGACCTACTATTAATAATACTTTACCACCAGGAATTTGACCGGATATAGATATTCCCATTGATTCCCAATATTCTAACAAGATTATAGAGAAGAAAAAAATCATTGAGATTTCAAAGGAATAAATATCTATTAAAGAAGTACAAGAAGAAAGTTATAATTTAATATTAAAAAATGATAGTTGTAATGCTATAATGTTGACGCTTTTTATTAGAAAATGTATATCTATGTCAAAATTCAACAATTTTATATTTTCATAGGAAACTACATAAATATTATGATGAATTACTTATTTCTGTTTAGTCAAAATAATCACGAAGCGCGAATATTTAGGTACACCTATTTAGGTATTCGAATATACACATAAACTATAGCAAAAGTAGTTCTATATTATAGTGCAGAAAATTTAAAGTGCTTCTCCAAGGCCCACCCAAATATATCTGCATAATTTGAAAAAAAAAAATTAAAACAACATATATATTTTAATGAAATAATATGAAATAATATGAAATAAAATAATATTTAGTATGCAAAAGTAATGAAATAAAAAGTGGATTTCTTGTTGACAATTTGTTCTTGTGAAAATTCGAGATTTTGCCATTTCAACATTAAATATCTTTTTAGAATGAAGATAAAACGAATAGATAAAATGGATGACTGAACAACGGAAAGAAAAGATCGAATATTTTCGATCTTTGTACATAACATAACCATCGCAACAAAGTACAAAAAGATGAAGATTCATGCCTGACCATAGTGATCCTTTTGCGAAAAAGGAAATAAGAATTTCTCAATGAGCATGTAAATTTTAGGGCTATTTTTCTACGATTGTCTCTCCATCTCCATTGAAGAAACGGACCGACAAAAAAGAACCATTGCCTTCACTTTTATTCTTAGATTTCTATTCTACAAACTCTGATGTACCTATAGTTTCTCTATTTTTCCTACATTGAGGAGCATTGCTAATTGATTATATTTACATTAAGGAAGTAATCATAAATAAATTATAAATAAATTTTTAATTTTTAACAAATAAATTATGATTTTTAAAGGATCGACACTGAAAAAATACT